GAAGGCTACAGCGCCGAGCGTACCACTCCCACAACTGCCGTGGTGAGAGAGGCTCTCGTAGTGTAGACGCAGGACCCCTAGGCTCAGCTACCCCAAACTCAGCACCCCCACGCTCCGCACGCTCAGGCTCAGCACCCCCAGGCTCCGCACGCTTAAACGCAGCACCCCCAGGCTCCACACTCGCAGGCTCAGCACCTCCAGGCTCCTCACGCTCAGGCTCCGCAATCGAAGGCTTAGCACCCCGAGGCTCCTCGCGCACAAGCTCAGCACCCCTAGGCTCCTCTGCTCAGGCTCAGCACACCCAGCAGCACAAGAATCACCAGTGACCTCGATAGGCTCAACCAAGGGGAGTGGGTCTACCTGAGACACACCTGAAGGAGCAGGACCCTGAGCGGGGAGGGGGTCCACCGGAGGGGGACCTAGAGCAAGGAAGAGCGGCGGGGAAGGGGGAGGTGCGGTGCGGTAGGGGAAGAGACGGTAAAAGGGAACCGACTCGTCAAACGTGACGTCCTGAGAGGGCAGGACACGGCGCGAGGCGGGGTGGTAAAACTGCCAACCGGACGCGTCAGGGGGAAAACCAAGGAAGACACTGGGAATGGCGCGGGCGGAGAGCTTGTCCGCGGAGGTATCGTGAACAAAGGCACGAGATCCCCAGACCCGGAACACTGACACATCGCCAACCTCTCCCGTCCAACGCAGTGTCAGCAAGGTCTCCGGCAAGGAGATACGAGGCCAGAGGTTGAGCTGATACGCAGCGTACCGGACCGCAAACGGCCACAGAAAATGGGGGTCAGCCACATGGATCATGGAGGTACGAGCGACCTCCATGACTAGGCCAATGTGGCGCTCATTCTGCTACGGAGAGGCCGGAAGCGTGAACGTCTAGCGAATACCCTCCCCACGACAAAAGTCCCGCAAGAGGTCAGAGGAAAACTCACCACCTCTGTCAGAGTGCAGACGCAGGACAGGAAGGTCCGTGTTGAACCGCTCGTGAAGCTGGAGATGGACAGCGCGGATCCAAGGGATCAAGACATCAGGGACCTCACCTTGCTGCGCAAGGGGAAGACCGTGGTGTAACGTGAGTAGTCGTCAACAACCAGCAAAAAGTATCGCTCGCGGCCCTGTCCTAGGACACGGGCTGGGCCCCACACGTCCAAGTGGAGAGTCTGCAGGGGAGCAGTCGTCATGGGAAACGAGGAGGAGTGAGGAGCGGCGCGCTGCCGCCCCTCGACACAAGGAAGGCAGGGAGGGGCAGGCGAGGGCGGGAGGGGAGGCAGAGACCTGGGAAGACCAGAGACAAGGAGGCGGGAGTGCATGCCACGAAGGCGTGGCAGGGAGGGGTGACCTAGGTGGTGGTGCCAAAGGAGAGTCTGGTGCGACAGGAGGCGACACGAACATGGGGCTGCTAGCTGACCCGATGAAGATGCAGACGCAGCTACCTGATGAGGCTTAGTAGTCCGTGTGTACAGGCTCGACCCAGGCGGATGGGTGAACGTGGCCAGGTGACGGCCCGTCCGTGCACATGTGCAGATCGCGACACGCTGTGCCCCAGAGGGATCAGCCAGAGAGACTGCAACCAGTGCTACTAGCGGTGTGACTGTGGTGCTGTCGCGAAAGAAGCAACGGGAAGCACCTGAGTCAAGCGTGAAGGTGTGCAAGGCCTCAAAAGGTGCACTACCAGAGAGAGCAGACTCACCAGCACCTAGAGCAGACTCACCAACACCTAGAGCAGACTCACCAACACCTAAAGCAGTAGCCGCAACACCAGGGTCGGGCGGCACACACAGGTAACAGTCACTCTGAGTACTAATAGACAAAGCATACATGGCAGTGAGGATAGTGTCATAGTCTAGAGCAAAGATATTCACCTTGCTCCTAAGCAGCTCTAGCCAGCGGGGGAGCTCAGCCTCGTCGCCAAACACTGCACGCCAAGCGTCGCTCAGACAGGCAAAGCAGTGAGCCTGTGTGTGACCAAGTGTCCCGCAAGTCTGACCAGCCCGATCACCTGTGCAAATGACGTACGGACAGCGGACAGTACTCCAAGTTCCCCCACTTTGAGTGTACCTCTCACGAAGCTGCTGGGGCGTAAGGGTTTCGCGCGGATGCCGCTGCAGCTGCATCTGGCCACCGCCAGAAACTGTGCACTGAACAGCTCCACTACGACTGCTACTACGGCCGCCGCCACCACACCTACTGGCGTACCACTCATGAAGCTGCTGGGGCGTAAGGGTCTCGCGCGGACGCCGAAGCAGCTGCATCTGGCCACCGCCAGAAACTCCACACCGAACAGCTCCACCGCGACTGCCACGACGGCCGCCGCCACCACTCCAGCTGCTATCACCACCGCCGTCACCGCTCCGACCACTACCACGAAGAGAATTCATAGCGGGCCAAGTAAGGAGGCGTGCGACCAGTAGGGCAGTACGGAGGGAAGGCAGTAGCATGAGCAGCAGTAGCAGTAGTAATAGCAGCAGAGCGGCTCGGTGAGGCTAGGCTGCAGCACCTCCAGCACTCCTAGTAGTACCTCCACCACCACCAGTAGCAGCAGCAGCAGCAGCAGGGTGGATCGGGTTGGGCAGGGCGGCTCGGGCTAGGCGGCGCGACTCGGCCTGGGCGGCGCAGGCAGCAGGGCGCGCGGTGTGCAGGGCAGCAGGGCGCGACGCGCAGGCTGCAGCAGGGCGAGACGCGTGGGCAGCAGGGCGCGGCGAGCGGGCTGCAGGAGAGCGCGACGCGCGGGCTGCAGCAGGGCGCGACACGCAGGCTGCAACAGGGCGCGATGCGCGGGGCAGCAGGGCGCGACGCGCGGGCTGCATCAAGGCGCGACGGCAGGCTGCAGCAGGGCGCGACACGCGGGGCAGTTGGGCACGACGTGCGGGGCAGTAGGGCGCGACGTGCTGGCTGCAGCAGGTCGCGACGCGCGGGGCAGACGTAGGGAGCGACGCGCAAGGCAGCAGGGCGCGAGTTGCGGGCTGCAGCAGGGTGCAACGCGCAGGGCAGCAGGGCGCGAGCTGCAGCAGGACGCGGGGCAGGGCAGAGCCCGTGCGGGGTAGCGCAACGCGGGGCAGGGCAGGGCGTGCGCGGGGCAGCGCGACGCAAGGCAGGGCAGGGCGTGCGCGGGGCAGCGCGACGCAAGGCAAGGCAGGGCGTGCGCGGGGCAGCGCGACGCAAGGGAGGGCAGGGCATGGCGCGCGCTATAGGCGCAGCGCAGGGCAGGGCGTGGGTTAATGCGGTAACCGCAGTTGGTCACTAGGTAATGGTGGGCCCGAAAAAAACGGTCCTACGGACCTACTGCTCTGAAACCATGTCAGAAAATAACGAGCAGGAATGATTGCATTGACATCAAACTGAGTACAAGTATAACCCTAATTGGGTTGTACCCCATATTGGCTACCCCACTATAGCCTACACAACACAAGTAGCATTATTGTTTGACAAGCTATCCCGTAGAATAGCATTCTCCGCAAGGCCAGGCTCCTCGAACGTGACGCAGGCAGGATTGCGCCGGCCTATGGCTACTTTTGAAATTTTCGCCGGACAAAAATGTCGTGCCCGCGCTGCTGGAAGGTCGTCGATACCTGATGACGTAGAGGGAGTTGATTGAGCCCCAGCTGGAGATTGCGGGGCTAAAATGTTTCGCTGATGGCGAAGTGGTGACACCGGACAAGGACGATGTCGAGCAGCAGGCAGAGTTCCTCGCGGCTCACTTGCTGACCTTCATGGTCATCTTGCTCTGCTCTTCGCGGATGGTGCAGATCGCTCTGAAGCCGTGTCGGCTTCAACCGGACGCCGACCACTAGGCGTAACGGTTTATCATGTCGACGTAACAGACGACCGACGATCTCTACATCGGTCAGCTTGAGGAGCGTCTGACTCACCTCAGAATGGGCGAGCAGGAGTCGGCGACGGACTACTGCATCCGTGCTCGACGGATCTTGGTCGAAATACGAATGACGGGCATCGACTATTCGACGGCATCCTATATCACACTGTCAAAACATGTTTATCGATTGTCTAGGCTGTAGTGGGGTAGCCCATAGAAGGTACAACCCATTAGGGTTAGTACTTGTACTCCTCATTGCTCTAACTTCATCGTTCCGCTGACCTATGATTCTGATATGGTATCAGACACTAGGTTAGGCCCGCCTGCCGAACCTACTATCGAACCTACTACCAACTACGACCAGGTTAGGTCTGTACCCCCCCGTACCACGCACACCGCCGCGCTACCCTGCCTAGCGCGCCACCGCACCGTCCTCCCCTACGCACTAGCGCGCTGCCCTGCCCTGCGCGCCACCGTGCTGCCCTGCCCTGCACGCCACCGCGCTGCCCTGCCTAGAGAGCCACCGCGCCGCGCAAGTAGAAACTTCGTACTAACTTGGTTTCCAACTACCATGGCGTGTAGTTGGTGATCAGTGTCCATTACAACACCCAAGATAACGAAATGTGAGGGATGGAAATAAATTCAGCATGAATGACAATCTAATTTTGTCGGCTGTCCCACTCTCGCAGATGACTTGAGCGTGTACATTTGCACATTTGTCGTGAGAGTGTACTCTACTGATTCTTGTGAAGAACACCCTGATTTTCGTAAAGACAATTGGTATGACGCACTGTGCCGATTACATATTCAGCACCAGCAGGATTTGTTAGCTGCCACATTGTCCTCTCCCCTTCGCTTGTGGAAAAATGCATGCAGAAACAAAGTCCCACGCGACGCACACTATTGAACTTTTCTAGCGCTGTTGGTGGTACTGTGACTGAATAAAAACAGCTCTTGCAAGCAAGATGAGACGACAACCGCACTCGTAAGCGACAAGAACGGTCCAGTCCAGCTGCATGCAATGGCTGGTTGTGAAGTGGTACTGTACTGTTCTTCCTGCAGGCGAGAGAAACTGCCGGAAGCCGCACTCGCAAGTGACGAGGATAGCGCACCTGCTTGTAATGGTTGGTTTAAAACTGGAGAAAGTCTTTCTAATCACACTGGCGGTACTGCTTTGGTATCAAAACAGCTCTTGCAGGCGAGAGGAGCTCCCAGCAGCGGCACTTGTAAGTGATGAGAACAGCCCAGCTGCCTGCGACGGCTGGTTGAACATCTCCTGTAGGTTTGAAATGTTGCGCGTGACTTGGCTGCCATCCCCGAGAATTGACCCCAGTTTGACCTGCATTCAGGTGGGAGCAACAGGGGAAGATTGTAAGCTGAGGCCGATGCGGCATCGAAAGGGGGGCAGGTAGCAGAAAGCACACACAGAATGCCTGGAAACAAAGAATAATTTACAGAAGTCCTTATCAGAGGTAATGAACAGAATGCGGTAATTACCTGACCCATAAGTGACTTGAAAATGGGTGTAGCAGAAAGCCCCGTCGAATCTGCGAACGAGAACGCCCCTCCAAGAGCCCCATCTTCTCCCCAAGCACCGCTACCCACCCCTCCAAACCCACCACCACCGACACCACTTGCTGCTGCAGCCGCCCCTGCCCCACTAGGCACACGGGACACTGGAGCGCCACTGTTGCTGCTGGAACCAGAAACGGATAGCAAGACATCTCCAAAGGTGGATGGACGGCGGGGCTTACCGCCAGGTGCCAGCCCGCCATTGGCCAGAAGCGGGGAGCTGGAGGAAGATGGGGGTGAAGGGGAGAAAGGGGCTTTTGAGGCGCCTTAAATAATGCTTTCTGCCAGGTGGCAGCCCGGCATTGGTCAGAAGAGGCGAGCTGGGGAAAGAGGGGGGGATGGAGGGGAGGGGAAAGGGAGGGGGTGGGGGAAGGGAAGGGGGGAAAGGGAGGGGGTGGCGGGAGGGAAGGGGGGAAAGGGAGAGGGGAAAAGGAAAGGGAGAAAAGGGAGGTTGGGAGGAGGGTCAAAGATGGTTGAGGTTAAGGGAGGGGGAAGGAGGGAGTAGGGTGGCATTATGGCGGTGGGGTGCAGAATTCTATTTGAAGCTACAATCATATCACAATAAAATTTGCTTTTGATGCACCTCATAAGTTGTACTAATATCACTTTTGAGCTTGCATTTTGAGAGGAAGGCGAAGGGGCAGTGCCAAGAGTGTTGGCGTCTGTGGCGTGGGGATGGTGCGGTGTAGGGTTGGTACAAATGAGATGAACAGTACAAGAAAGACCGCAAGCAATTTACCTTATGGGCAGGAAGGTGAAGCGTGGAACGGTGGGAGCGGTATCCAGGGTGTTGGCGTCTGTGGCGTAGGGATGGCGCGGTGCAGCATCGGTGTAGAGGCGATGCAGCTGGGCCAGATGACCGAAGAGCACTGCCGAGCGCAGGTAGAACCGCTGCTGGTTCTGCCACAGGAACGGCAGGTAGCTGGGGGCGGACGAAGGGAGAGGGAGGGGAGGGAGGGAGGGGGAATGGGGAGAGGGAAAACGTGGGGAGTGATTTACAGCTGAGTGGGATGGCCAAAGAGGACTGCTGCACCAGGGTGTAGAGTTGGTATAATGCAGAGTGCAGCATTGGTGTAGAGACCATTCAGCTGAGACAGATGGCCCAAGAGCACAGCTGAGCGCCGGTAGAATCGCTGCTGGTTCTGCCACAGGAAGGGCAGATAGCTGGGAAGTGGGGAGGGGAGGGGGGAGGAGGGAGGAGCAGATATGAGAGTGGGCTGTACACCGGTCTGATCTAAGCATAGGGTGTCGTTCAGTTCCGTGCACCCCACCTGCATACAGGGTGTCGTTCAGTTCCGTGCACCCCACCTGCATACAGGGTGTCGTTCAGTTCCGTGCACCCCACCTGCATTTCTCAACCGACTCACGTGGCTCTGCAGCTTTGTCCAGCAGCGCGGCCACTCTTTCATTCAGACCTGGGATGGGAGCTCGCTGCATGTGTGCACGAGGAGTCAGTGCAACTCACGCGGCCCTATCGATGGGGCCCAGTCCAGCTCCCTATCGATGGGGACCAGTCCAGCTCCCCTTGCAGCTTCTCCAGCAGCAGCGCTGCCATGCCACTCGTCAACGATAACAAGTTGGCAGAATGTGCACGGGGGGGGGGGGGGGGGGGGACCAATGAAATGAAACTCACGCGGCTCGGTCGATGGGGTCCAGTTCCTCCTGCAGCTTCTCCAGCAGCGCTGCAACTCGTTTCTTCCTCGCCGCAACCGACACACCAATGCTCCCCGCCCCTGCCCCTGCCCCTGCCCCTGCCCCTGCCCCTGCCCCTGCCCCTGCCCCTGCCCCTGCCCCTGCCCCTGCCCCTGCTCCCCCTCCTGAACCTGCCCTTGCTACAGCCCCCCCTGCTGCCCCTGCCCCAGCTCCCCTGTCCGCTGCTGCCCCTGCTCTTGCTCCCCCTCCTTCACCCCCTTCTGCTGCTGCCCCTGATATCGCTCTGAGTGCGTCCAGAGGCAACTCCGCCCCTCCTGAGAGCACGTCTGACAGCAGGCGAGCGTCAAAGAGCAGCTGCAGCACTCCCTTCTCTGATGCACGCTTGGTGCTGGCAAGATTCTCATAGGCACCCAGGACCTGGGGGGAGGGGTATGAGGAAGGAAGGCAGGGACATGGATTTCACGTCTGACAGCAGGCGAGCGTCAAAGAGCAGCTGCAGCACTCCCTTCCCCGATGCACGCTTGGTGCTGGCGACAGACTCGTAGGCAGATAAAACCTGGGAGGAAGGGCATAAGGGAAGGGAGGGAGGGAGTTGAATTCACAGGCTGACAGCAGGTGTGCGTGAAAGGGCAGCTGCAGCACTCCCTTTTCTGATGCCCGTTTGGTGCTGGCAAGTGCCTCGTAGGCGCGCAGAACCTGAAGGGATGGGCATGAGGGAGGAGAAGGAGAGGGGCAAGAGGGATGGGCATGAGGAACGAGACGGGGGGGCGCAAGAGGGATGGGCATGAGGGAGGGCGAGCGGATGTGTGCGAGCAGGCGAGCGGATGTGTGCGAGCAGGCGAGCGCCAAAGAGCCGCTGCAGCTGCAGCACGCCTTTATGGCGAGTGGAGGCAAGAGCCTCGTGCGCACCCAGGAACTGTTGGGAGGGGAGGGGGGAAGGCAGGGAGGCGGGGAGGTGGGGAGGGGAGGGACGAAGGGAGGGCGGCTAAGTGAAGAGCCAAGCAAACAGCACCACTGAGCCAAGCAAACAGCACCACTTAGCCCAAACCCCCCCAGCTGCTCATCACAGCTCCTGTCTGGTTCATTTCTTTAGGCACGCACCCTCCTACTGTCCAGCATACCTGGTTTGAGAGCTCCCAGGCAAAAAGGCAGAGAACGAGGTGGTCGAGGGAGTGGCAACCCACACGGTGCACATCAGCTGATGCAGCAAAGAGCAGCAAAGAGCAGGATGCCACGTAGGGCGAGGGGCAGGCTGGCAGGGTCATTCGCATCTCCACCTTGGCTCTAGGCACACACACCCCCTCCTACTGTTCTCCCCACCTGGTCTGATAGTTCCCAGGCAAACAGCCTGAGGACGAGGCGGTCGAGGGAGTGGCAGCCCACACGGTGCACATCAGCGGAGGCGGCAAAGAGCAGCGACGCCACGTAGGGCGAGGGGCATGCCGGCAGGGTCATTCGCATCTCCACCTTGGCCTCGCCCTCCTCCCCCTCCTGCTGCACCACCGTCTCCTCCCAGCCCTGGAGAAAAGGCACGTTTAGGGCAGGGAGAAACAGGGGAAGGGTGGGGAGGTAGAGAGGGGCAGGCAGGCTGGGAGGATCATTCGTATCGCCACCTTGGCGTCCGCCTGCCCTCCTCTCCCTCGGCTGAGCAGGGAGTGGGATAGGAAGAGGAACAGTTGAGAGCTGGCCGGGTAGTTCCGGCTCGCTGGGTGGGTGGGTGAGACTTCAATCCTGGGATGCGCGTGCTTCCCATCCCAGTGCACCAAGGCTGGGGTTCCACAGAATCCCGTACGTTGAGCCTTGAGGGGAGTGGTGGCGGTGAGAGCTGGGTCGTGCATGAGATTGCGGAAAAAGGAACGGCGGTGGGTAAGGTAAGGTTCACCCAGTGCTGCACAGTGGAGTGCACTGGTTGGGGTTCCAAAGAAGGCTCGTACCTCCAAGGGAGAGGGAAACCTAACTCGAACGAACGAGAAGCGAACCTGGAGGGGAGTGGCGGTGGTGAGAGCTGGGTCGTGCATGAGATTGCGGCGGAAAGCGGAGGCGAGCAGGCGGGTGCTGTGAGTCACCCAGTGCGAGTGCGCCAGAATGCTCAGCCGCCGCAACTCCCTCTGAAAACAACAGGGGGGGATGGTGTAGTGGGAGAGGAAGAAGCGTACAAGCAGTGAGAGATTGCATCTTAGGCAGCGCATCTTGGGAGAGCACCTTGGGAGAGCATCTTGGGAGAGCACCTTGGGAGAGCATCTTGGGAGAGCACCTTGGGGTTAGAAGCATCTTGGGAGAGCATCCTGGGAGAGCACCTTGGGAGAGCACCTTGGGGTTAGAAGCAAGATATCCAAGGGTCGAGGTGAAAGCAAACTGAGCAACTGTAAATGGCTGGAGGGGAGTGGGGGCCACGGCACGGCAGAGAGACGACACATAGGAGTTACAACGAAATGACTCACTTGAATCTCATGTAGCCGAGCGAACTCAGGTGATCTCGCCGCAACAGCAGCAAGATCCGTCACTCTCCTCCCACCCCTCCTGCCTGAACCCCCTCCCACTCCTAACCCCACACCACCACCACCCATCCAGCTCAACCCACCACCACCGCCACCGCCACTCCCGCTGCTACCACTGCCCCCTCCTGCCACTGCTGCTGCGATAATACTCCCCACAACCTCCTGAGAGGGCCACTGCAGAACTGGCTCCCCAGCCCTCGACCCATCCCTCTCAGCATCCCCATTATAAACCGCCCCAGTACTAGCTTCTGAGGCTACTCCAGAAGCAGTTGATTCAGCCGAAGCAGCGGTATAGCCGCCTGCTGTAGCGGCAGCAGCTGCTGCTACAGCTGGCCAGGTGGAGCTAGGGCCAAGCGCCACAGCTAGGGAGGAGGAACTCTGCGCTACAGCCGCTGCCAGCCGGCCAATCAGAAGAGCCTGTTCGACCGCCACTTGCGCGGATAACCTCCCAGCAGCAATCGCTGCATCTGGGCCGTTGGATCGTGATCCTGCATCCAACACTCCTCCTGACCCATTTCCTGTTCGTTCCCCTGCTGCTGTTGCTGCTGCACTTTCCGAGCTGTTCTCAACACTGCCGTTCTCTCGTGCTCCTCTCCTTTCCCCCTTCTCCGTCTCCTCAGCTTGCTCTGCCTCCTCTGCCTGCTGCTGCTGCTTCTGCAGGTCGCCGAGCCTGCTTGCCAGCAGCCTAACCAGCCGCATCACACACTCGTGGCACCGATCCTGCAGGTACGGGGCCAACTCCTTGGTTCGGGACGCCGACGAAGCTGCCGAAGCAGCGGCGGCAGAGGCGGGGGCAGAAGAATTCAATGAAGAGGAGGAGGAGGAGGAGGAGGAGGAGGAGGAGGAGGAGGAGGAGGAGGAGGAGGAGGAGGAGGAGGAGGAGGAGGAGGAGGAGGAGGTGGTGGAGGGATGGGCAGAGGGAGCGAGTGCAGAGTGAGGGAGGAGGAGAGTGAGGGCATCTAGCAGAATCTCCTGAATTTTGGAGTGTAGCTGTTGCCATACCACCGCTACCTGTGGCTCATACACTTGCGTGCCACGCAAAACTGCCTCTCCGTTCCCCCGCCCACCCTCCTTCCCACCCTCTTTCCCACCCTCCTTCCCCTCTCCACCTGCTCCTCCTGCTCCCCCACCTTTACCCAGCCCCACCGCACCCAGCTCCTCTCCCGGGCTGCCCCATACTGCCTCCCCAACAGCAAACCCGCCTGTCTCTTCGAACCCTGCTTGGCCTATAACGTCAGTGAGAGGGGGTAGTGTCGCCCAACCTGCCCCGAACCTCCTGTCTCCTCCTGCCAAACCTGCTGCTTTCTCACTGGCAATAGCACGAGCAGCGGCCGTAACCACAGCAGCACAACCACCTGCAGCACCAACACCAGCAGCACCAGCACCAGTACCAGCAGCAGCAGCAGCAGCAGCAGCAGCAGCAGCATTCTGTGCTGAAACCACGGCTGCCACAGCCACCACATCCCCCACCTCCCTCAACACTCCGTCAATCTCCTCCCTCAGCGTCAATCCCGCAAACGCCCCGTCAATAATCTCCCGCGCTCTAAGTGCGAACGCGGCCTCAAACAACTCGCTCCATAGGTCCTTGGGCTCTTTCAGTAGCAGCTCGCACAGGGCGCGCCAGGGGGATTCCGGGGGACAGCCGAAGGCTGACGTCAGCCAGTCCAGGCTGGCAGCAAAGATGTCCTTGTTGGTGATCGCTGCACGCGTGGCGGCCTCTGCTTGCGCCAGGTGGCGGATCTGGGTCACCCTGCTGAGAAGGCTCTTGGACTCGGCTGGAAGGAAGATGGTGGGAGTGGGGAGTGAGGGGAGTGGGGAGTGAGGCGAGGTGGGAGAAAAGGAGGAAATATGCTGCGCTCCCTCCCCGTCTTTTAATTTCAGTCGAGTCAAATGTCATAGAGATGACTCTGCAAAGCAGGTTCTTGAAGTGAGCTGGTGAGAGGCTGGGGAGTGTGGGTGGGGTGGGTGCTTCTATAAAGCGAGAGTATGCCTTTGAGACAGACTCACCAGCAATGTCAGCAGAGCACGCCTTGAGCCACCCCTGGCACGCCTCTGCCTGCCACCTCCTTGCTGTCTGGGTGGGGAATGCCCCTCTCAAATCAGAACTCACCAGCAATGTCAGCAGCGCACACCTTGAGCCACCCCTGGCACGTCTCAAAGAAGGCAGGTGGGCTTCCAGACGCCTCAAACGAGAGTATGCCTTCCATACTCACCAGCAATGTCAACAGCGCATGCTTTCAGCCAGTTTTGGCACGCCTCTGCCACCTCCTTGCTGCTTAAAGACGGCAACCGGGCTTCCAGCGCGTCCCTTTGTGTGTGCCAGAGCGCCGCCAGCTCCCTGTCGGGCTGAGTGGGGTACAGTATGCTTCCTCCCAGATACCAGAGTATGCCCTTCTCGAGAAAAGAAGGCTACGCCCACCGCCAGACTTACCAGCAATGTCAGCAGCGCACACCTTGAGCCAGTCTTGACACGCCTCGGCCACCTCCTTGCTGCTCAAAGACGGCAACCGGGCTTCCAGCGCGTTCCTGTGTGTGTGCCAGAGCGCCAGCTCCCTCCCTGTCGGGGCTGGCTGGTGCATGCTCTTCCCAGAAACGAGAGTACACCTTCCATACTCACCAGCAATATCAGCAGCGCATGCTTTCAGCCAGTCTTGGCACGCGTCTGCCACCTCCTTGCTGCTGAGAGACGGGAGCCTGGCCTCTAGAGCGTCCCTGTGTGTGTGCCAGAGCGCCAGCTCCCCGTCGGGGCGTGGGATGCCGCCAAACAGCTGCGCCTGTGGTGCTCCCTGCAGCAGCACCCCCAGCAGCACTGCTCGTTCAGCTGAAGAAACCTCCAGAAACAGCTGTCCCGTCTGGCACAGCGTGAGCTGGTGGCGGCGATGGCGGGTGGGTGGGAAATGGGGGGGTTTGGGGAATACATTTTGAGGTTTAGGGGCGGCAGGTTGCTCCCTACAGCAGCACCCAAAGAAGCACCGCCCTTTCAGCTGAGGAAACTTCCAGGAAAAGCTGCCCCGTCTGGCACAGGGTGAGCTGACGAGAGGAAAGCGGGTTAGAGGGGGTTGGGAGTTTTGCGGGACGGTTGGAAGGTGTGAAGGGAGGTGGTTGGTTGGGAGGTCTGAAAGGAAGAAGCGAGGAATGCTATTGGTTGGCAGGTACGGTAATGAAAGGAAGTAGTGAAGAGAGAAAGGAGGGGCGTGAAAAAAATCCCAGCTACGTGAGCTGCCTGCTGCCGTAGCCATACCTGCTGCCGTAGCCATACCTGCTGTTAAAACTGGTATACCTGCTACCACTGATATACCTCCTGCCGCTGGTATACCTGAATCAGAGCTACCAGCTGGCTGAGCAGTGCTGCCAGCGCATCAGCAAAACTCCCCCCAGCGCCCAGAGCTAAGGTGGCAGAGGCGAGCTGCATCGGGGGGGAGTGGAGAGCGTGGAAGGATGGAACGAGATGGCAGGAGAGGAGGGAACCTTTCGAATCAAATCGCTCAATGGTAGCTAGCTCATCCGCGAAGCTGACTTGGTGCGAATTTTGAGAATTCTCAAAGGTCAATGCTTGCTAGCTCATCTGCGCAGCTTGTTGGCCCCCCTAGAACTGATGTGATAGAGGCGAGCTGAAACAGGAAGGAGTGGGGGGACGGCGGGCATGAGAGGGGTTGGGAGGGGTTGGGAAAGGATGAGAGGGGATGACAGGGGGTGGGAGGGGACTGGTTCGCATTAGCGCATCAGCAAAACTCCCCCCAGCGCCCAGAGCTAAGGTGGCAGAGGCGAGCTGCGACAGGGAGGGAGGAGTGGAGGGCGGGCATGAGAGGGGTTGAGGGGTTGAGACAGGATGAGAGGGGATGAGAGGGGGTGGGAGGGGACTGGTTTGTGCTAGCACATCAGCAAAGCCCCCCTCCCCCCCCACCACCCCCCCCCCCCCCCCCCCCCCCCCCCCCGGCGCCCAGAGCTGAAGCGGCAGAGGCAAGGTGCAACAGGGAGGAGTGGAGGTAGGGCGGGCATGAGAAGGGTTGGGACAGGATGCAAGGGGATGAGAGGGGTTGGGAGGGAGGGGACTGGTTTGCACTAGCCCATCTGCGAGGGGACTGGTTTGCACTAGCCCATCTGCGAGGCTGCCCCCGTCGCCCAGAGCTGAAGGTGGCAGAGGCGAGCTGCAACAGGGAGGAATGGAGGGAGGACGGGCATGAGAGGGGTTGGGAGGTAATGGAAGGGGTGGGAGGGAATGGGATCACTGCGCTGCCGCATACTCTCTCATCCTTGCCCTTTCTCTTTCCACACATATGCAAAGCAAGAGAGGGAGAAAAGAAAGGGGTGGGGTAAGGGTAGAGAAATGGGAGGAGGAGGGGAGGGGCGAAAGTCAGAAAGACAGACAGACAGACAGACAGACAGACAGACAGACAGACAGACAGACAGACAGACAGACAGACAGACAGACAGACAGACAGACAGACAGACAGACAGACAGACAGACAGACAGACAGACAGACAGACAGAAAGACAGAAAGACAGATGGACGGACAGACGGAGTAGCAAACATCCTCGCCACTTCCTCCCGCCCTCATGCCAACTTCTCCCACTCTCCTGCCACGTCCTCCCGCGTTCCTCCTACCCTCGGTCCCACATTCTTAATGCATGAGCCAGTGGCAGGAAGGCAGGAAAAAGTGCCTGGAAGGCGGGAGAAAGTGGGAGGAGGGCGGGAGGAAGTGGCAGGAGGACGGGAGAAAATGGCAAGAGGGCGGGCGGAAGGAAGTGGCAAGACGGCGAGAGACAGACAGACAGACAGACAGACAGACAGACAGACAGACAGACAGACAGACAGACAGACAGACAGACAGACAGACAGACAGACAGACAGACGGATACATGCACCTGGGAGCACAGGCATGCTCCACGGGCGTCAAGAAAGAGGGTGAGGAGGTCATGAAACGAGAGCCCTTTCATCACTGCCACCGCTACCACAAGTACTGCGTGCCCCGCCAATCTCTTCTCCAACTCTCTTACCCCACAAACCCACCTGGGAGCACAAGCATGCTCCACGGGCGTCAAGAAAGAGGTCGAGCAAATCGTGCGCTGCGGTATACCCTCCTTCTCACTCACACCCGGCCACTGCACACCAGCAGCAACAGACAGACAAAGACACGCGCACCCACATACACATACACCTGGGAGCGCAGCGCAGGCGCTCTACTGGTGTCGAGGAAGAGAGCTCTTCCATCACCGCCACAGCTGCCAGCGCTGCTGCGTACTCTCATACTCACTCTCTCAAGTCAATTTCCACCTCAATCTCCACTCCTCAATCTCCACTCCTCAATCTCCACTCCTCAATCTCCACTCCTCAATCTCCACTCCTCAATCTCCACTCCTCAATCTCCACTCCTCAATCTCCACTCCTCAATCTCCACTCCTCAACCTCCACTCCTCAACCTCCACTCCTCAATCTCCACTCCTCAATCTCCACTCCTCAATCTCCACTCCTCAATCTCCACTCCTCAATCTCCACTCCTCAATCTCCACTCCTCAATCTCCACTCCTCAATCTCCACTCCTCAATCTCCACTCCTCAATCTCCACTCCTCACTCCTCAATCTCCACTCCTCAATCTCCACTCCTCAATCTC